TTTAAAGACGGGTAGACACACCTCTGAGTCAGCGTCAGAATAAATGGGAGAGCAACTGAAAAATCCCAGACAAAGGCGTAAGACTCAGCATGCCGCTAAAAACAGCACCGGCCGCTTTGGCGCCGAACGGAACGCCACACCGGTCAGCAGAGATGACTCCCGCCGATGGCAGAGGTTTGCACGCTGTGCACAGCGTGCACTCTGCACAATCACATGCACGGTGCCAGGTGTGCACCAGCGGGGTACTCAGCGAGTCCCCGGGCGCGCAGAGAGTCTCCTGACCTCGAGAGGCCGACGGTTTCAGCACGCGCAAACGTGCCCGCGGCGGTGGCAGCGAGCGAGCCGGGGAGGTCGGAGGGAGGCCGTATAACCGCGCCGAACTCCCACAGAGAGAGGACGTGACGTGGGCTTGATGTCAGCCGTGACGTGGAGGACGTGATGACGAATGTGATACTGAATGTGATACTGAACGTGATGCTGAACATGATCCTGGACGTGACGCTGGGTTTGGCACTATGCATGACGTTGTACGTGACGTTGAGCGTGATGTTTGTCATATTATACTCGTAAGTGGTGCTAGACGTAACATTGAGCATGGTGTTACATGTAATTTTGCACGTGACTTCGAATGTAACATTTACCATAATGTCAAAGCGCTGGATGCGTTCTTCCCACTGTCATGCGATTAAAAACGTCACCTAAGACGTCACACAAACCGACAACGTTATCCTGTGTAGCATCCCTCCCTCTCTCTCCTCCTCCCCATCCCTCCTCCCTCTCTAAGTGCAGTGAAGCATGCCCTCGGGTCAAACAGGTGGTCGCCGCCATCACCCGGCCATCAGATGACCTCAGTTGTTGAACGTCATCGTCCGGTAGGAACCGCTCAACCATGGCGCTGGTTACATGTCGAGGCGCGGGCTGTATGGTGATGTGCTGTACAGGACAGATAGTGCTGGTTTCTGACCCGTGTTTTCGCTGTGTAGGCGTCAGTCACCAGGTGTGTTGTCCGGAGAATGCAGTTGCTGGTCGCTACAGGTACCGGTGATCTGATCCTAAGTCATGTTCGATTCTGGACAGACATTTTTCAAAACTTCAGAAGGCGACGTTTGAGAGATGACGCCCGTGTATAATAGACAACTTTGAATCGCAACAAACGTAGGTTCATAGCATTAATAATGTCAGCCTCACAGACAATCACAGCCGCATTTCTGGAGCATTCCCACCAATGTTTATATTCACAAAGCCCTGAGACCAGTCAACCAAGAAATAACATCACCGCACTTCAATCAGTCCCCGCCACGGAAGTTAAAATCCGGGGAAGCCCCGTTGCTGCCATGAATTATCAGTGTCAAAGAGCCTTAGCAGGTCAGTGCGTTTTCAGGGCTTTACTCCCGTCGCGTAAAGGATTCAGCCAGCCGTATGATCCCGGAAAACGGAAGTCCGTTTGCCTTTGAGCATGGCCGGCTCCGCAATGTGGATGACAGCCTGATGTCGCGAGTGTAGTTGACAGGTCGCGACATCACAGACGAAGGGCGTATTTTGCTATTATTCAGTGTTAACTTAACGAATAAGCACAGTATTTACAACGGTTAAATACAACCATCGCTTATGAGGGAAAGATACGACGATTATCACAGCCATTGTTGTTACATTCTATCGGTTTCGTTTCATGTTCATGATGTTCATACACGCCAATGTTACCGTGGGAATTGTTATACGCACTTTCCTTCCGGTGACGGAGTACTCTTATTAAAACTTTCCCGTTCCGGGCAGCTCAATGAGTGGCCTTATTTTGATCTTGGGTGAACATATCAATGACATTGCACCTTGTGTTTATCGTGGCACCTCTAGTAGCCTGGCGTTGTTCTTTGGCGACCTTATTGACCTGATACTGACCTGAGACCTCTTGTGATCTCTGATCACCCTGTACCTACATATTGCTCACTTCATTGACCTCTAATGATTCTGCACCTATTCCTGACCTTGTGTGACCTCCAGTGACCTACTGCTGACCTTTGGAGTGACCTCCAGTGACCGTGTTCCACTTGCAGCTCTAAATCCTGTCGCTATCTGACTTCCCCAGCGCACACCCTGCCAGCTGATCACTATGCAGGAATTTACATGGCTTAAATAAATCGCCAGTGACAGCCGGGTTGAACGAGCGGCGCTGCGCACGCTCCAACGCTGTGCACAATTGTGTGCACGGGTTCAGAGTGTGCACCCTGCACCATGCACCAGCCTACCCGGCCATCTGGCACAGTAGGCGAGCCGGCACTAGGGGATGATCTAAAGACCGTTTAAGTAGCTCCACGGGAGTCAATGCCTTTGGTATGGCTTAACCCTATTCCTGGCGGGCTCCGCCGGGACAAGAAACTGGCGGGGGGGGGCCGATTCGGCCCCCCCCCTGAGATCTCGAGAACGAAGCAAGATAGCGACAAGCGGTAAACGGCATCGGATACGCACGGCCAAGATCTACAATTTTTACTAAGGTCATTTTCAGGTCAGGTCAAAGATGACGTCACAGGGGTCGAAAAAGTCAAAATGGCGGCACTAGATATGGAGAGAGTTTTTCTCGAATAACTTTCGAATTAGTCAAGATAGGAACAAACTAAGGGCATCATCGTGATCCTCTCGTCAATCCGCATCGAATGATATATATGTTGACCTCGAAAGGTCAAGGTCAAAGGTTGACCTCAGGTCACGTGACCTCGAGGTCATCATGTATATCATTCGATGCGTCTTGACGAGCTGAACACAATGAGACCATCCACGCGTCTGTATCTTGTTCCTGTACGGAGTTATTGGCCAAAAACCTTTGGTGACCTTTGATGACGTCACATGACCTCACAGCTGCCCAACAGCAAAACAGACCTCAAGGTAGTGAAGGTTGATCGTATATGAAGTCATGTATGGTATATGGGGCCATTCCGACCCGTTTTAGTGGTAAAAACAGGGAGTTGATTTTTCCCCCATTGACTTATAATGGGGAGGTCGCGAAATTGACCTGACCTTAGGTCACCGATATCAAAATTCCGAGATATACAAATTGCACATACTGGTACCCTTACTAAACCCTGAAGAGAAGAAATTGATCGGTCAAAAACTCTAGCTCTGGCGTGATTGCAAACTTTTCTGAGGTAGCGTCACCAAACCGCCTCTGGTGACCTGACCTGAGGTCAGATCAACTCAAAATTTTCAGACATGTTGCGTAGAAGCCTTTTAGGAAAAGTCAGAAAATTTGAGCTTCCTAGCTCAACGCGTTTGGGAGATATAACCAAAAAACCTCAGGGGGGGGCTCCTGAGGCCCCCCCCCGCCAGGAATAGGGTTAAAGTCATCGTTCGTAACTACCCGTCGCTGTCAATGCAATGTAGCCATTGTTAATAATTTACCCACCGGCGTGCACAGTCGCATGCCACTGATGCCGGGCGCTCCCACGCACAAGCTTTATCGATTACTTTGCATAATACGATCAAGTCAAAGGCCCGCCCAAGTTAGTGCAGGGGTGGGGTGTTCGCATAAGTCACACCACTGCCTTTGAACTAAAGGCGCGGTGTTTCGATTGGGCAAATGCCCGCACTTCATGCTCGCAGTTACAGCAGAGTGAGGTTAATGACAGCAAGATAGTATCGATAGCATCTGCAGGGGGCGTGGCGGTGCGCTATGATTGCTCCATGTTCGTGGCCGACAAAGGGAGAGATTCAGGAAGTCGTGGGTGGGAATCAATAGCATTCTCCGGTTCTAGTGTTACGGCACCTTGACCGAGGTTATTTCTACGGACCTTTATGGAATAATGACATCCGCCGCAATATTGATTGAGGATTGCTCATAAGAATCGCGTAGGCGAAAGCAATGGCTGAAAAAGTCACGCAAAAAAATATTTAATACAATAGACATACACAATACGCATTCCAATGCCTAACGGAGTCATACCGCGGCTGAACATTAATTGCTTTTCCACCAGGGAAATGTGTTATGCGCTATCGATGTGACGCACATACGAATCCTATTGAGCCATGGCAGAATGGTAACCACAGGCGACTCAGATAGCAAGACGCCGAATTAAATCAACACCGTAAAATCTTCGCTTCAACGAAGGACAAGCTGACGACATGTTATCGAAGTTTCCCTGACTTTTAGAAAAGGGAATGATGACTTAATGGAAAGGCCGACATAAAGATATTGAGTGTATGTATATGAAGCATTTAAGATGTAAAAATGCAATGTCTACCATTATCTTCCCTTTCCTTAGCTACAGACATTCATACAAGAGTTGAGATAACGCTTTATCATTTCACTGGATGCTTACATAATTCAAGGGGTTAACAGCATAAAAAACAATGTATCTCCAGTAGCAGTCTCGTCCCAGTCTCGGAGCTAAGTGGCCTCGGATCAGGAGTCCCTGGCCGAGGAATTGAGCGTGTGCCGTAGACACAGACACCATTTGTAACAATCAATGCACCAGCTAACGACGACAATGGGAGCTAGATTGGCTGTAAAAACTGCAGACAACCGACGTAGATTATATGGCACGCGACGATAACGGCAAGACTGGCAGAAAAAAAGTTGGATTTATGGGTGACACGAAGGGATATAAGTTTATATAATGCGTACATATTGTGCATGCATATTGCATATTGTAATGAGCGCAAAATGCAGAAAGCGAGTGATAGGCTGGGAGCTTGTTTAGGTTTTGGTGTCTGTATTGTGTAATTCTGATGCTTCGACGTTTTGGCATGTAAATTGTAGTGGAATTGTATAGCCGACATAGTCGACTTAGTTTTTATGTTTAAAGAATATGCTTGTTAGTGATAATCCTGGGGACGAATACTCGTGACGCGCTATCAGTAAAAGGCGCATTCTTACACACGAGAGCAAGATCAAGAACATGACTACTGTGTTCTTACACACGAGAACACAGTAGTAATTGGATCCCGAACCCGGGCCCGTCCCAGCCCCGAGTCATGCAGTCCCTCCAGGTGTGGGCAGATTCAACACTCACCCATATGTTGATCTCGGGTGGCTGATCTTTCTTGGGCTTCTTTCTCTGCCAGAACTTCCACCAGGACCTGCCCATGGCGAACGGTGCGTCCCGTCGCTCCAAACTGCTCACTTTGGCCACCTCCCGGCGCTCCAAACTGCTCACTTTGGCCACGTTCCGCCGCTCCAAACTGCTCACTTTGGATACACTCATCCACCCACGCGGATACACTAATCCGAGCAGCGGTGTTTGAATGGCTCACTGCACCACCGCGCTCCTCAAGGTCACTTAGATTATTTCTGGACTTGCCAGGGGTTTCTTAACTAGCTTAATGAGGCACACTTGCACGAAAAGTTCGCTTAACTTAGTCGTCCTTAAAATACTCCACTGCGTCCGTCCTTCTGTCCACAGCTGTAGTTTTCCACAACTTCGGAACCCTTCGAACGTCCGCTGTCCACTGTAGCACTGCTTAGAATTAGGCACTCACTCACGATCACTTAAATTCACTTTCTCACTTATTCTACACTTATGCACTATCGTCGATCAAGTTCTTATTATCTATTCACTTAATTAGCCACGTGCCCCTTAGACACTAGTTCAGACTCCTCTCAGTCATTCCTGAGTTCCTCTCAGTCACTCCCGAGTTCCTCTCACCACCGCTCTGTCTCCCTCCTCTCTCTCCAGGACCGCTCTGCACACCGTCTCTCTCCTCACTGGACGGCGGCGACCCGCGGCGCGTCCCGTTCGAATTTCGGCGCGGTTCTGGGCAGATGAGTCACGGGTTCGGATCGCCCACGCCGCGCAGGGTGACCCTGTGCTGCACCCAGCTCGGCTCCGTCACTTCAATGAGTGAATACCCGACAGACAGACGGGGAGGGCCTCCGGGACTATTGACCTTCCGCTGTGCCCTTAGGGACAGGTGATCACGTTGAGTCTCGTAGAAGTCGATTTCGATCACGGACCGGTTGCTTTTCACAGAGTAAATCACCAGCAATAAACAGACGTTGCTGGCAGATGATTTCCGTTAGCTGAATTGATCTGCGGTTTTGCGATGATATCTGACGACTCACGACGTTTTTCACGCTGGTGGTTGAGTGTCTCGATGTTTCAACTACGGTAGCTGATTAACGCCAGTTGTCGGCTTATCTTCAAATCCACACACGTTACGTTTGCTTTTCGTCACTCTGTGGACACTTCAGATTTCTTCCGTTACAGCACACCTCACTCAAACATCCACCAACTCAGAAATCCTCCAGCGACCCGCGAGACTCGCTCTGACGTGGCTCCGGTCCGCACACCACCTCGGCACACACCGACTCCTCAGTAAGTGGCCACTTAGCTGCACGCCACGCGCCGGACAGCCGACGACCGACCGACGACGGTACCGACGCAACGACGTCGACGCACCGACCGACGATCAGCTGACCAAAGGTCGACCGAGCGACGACGGGCCGACGGGGCGGAGAGGCGACACAAAAAAAAAGGCGCTGATGAGAGTAACACGGCGTATGTAGCAGTCTCGGAAGAGTGTTGAAGATGAACGTAAACACAGTGAGCTCACGGCGAGCTCTGAGCAAACTCCAAGCAAGCTCGGAGCGAACTGCGAGACGCAGCTACCTCGCCGCGATGAGCCGAACGACTGCCGACACGAATGACGTCCCAAGACTGATGGGTCGGCGCACCTCTGTTCGGGCCGCTCCCGGTGACGTGACAAGAGCTGTGGCTCTGCGGAATCCTGCGGCACCCACACGACCCTCACTTGACCTCCTGGGGTGACCTGTAGAGAGGCGGAAGCGGGCTGGGAGCTGGAGGCGATCCACGGAGAGTGGGAGATGAAGGAGGGAGAAGATCACTTAGGTAAATGACAGATGTCGTGACCTCAGTTGACCTTGATTCGACACTTGTGTTAATTAAGTTGTAGATTGTAGATTCAAATCACTTGGATTGTAGTTTTGATCTGTTCTCTACGAGGTGTGTAGTTACTAGTTTTCAAACCGGATTCGAGTCCAGCTTATCTCCGAGATGTGTGCGTTTTTACCGATGAGACGGATGATTGATGAGTCCGTTTTTCGGCGTCCTGTCACGCAGAGTCCCGGTTGACCTCAGCTGACCCAGTTAGGGTGACCTGACAGTGACACACCTAACTGCAGCTGACCTGAGGGACGGAGACCACTCCAGTGACCTTTCACGGGGAAAGGCTGGGAGACGGACTGTGTCCTTTAAACGCTCTGGTCACTCTCAGCAATCCAATCTTCAGCTGAGCCGAGTTGTATGATCTTTGAATGTTGAAATGACGCTTTCGCTGTGGCTCAGAACACCTTGGACTGTTGGACTGCCAAACTCCGAACCTGGCCTCTTGTTTGTTGTATCTCTCTGACCAAACTTCCGAGTTGTTTCAGCGCCTGTGCTCCTGGGTGGTCTCTTGTGACTTCTGTCCGACGTTTTGCATCAGCTGGTCCCGCGGATGGAACAGAGGCCTTTTCTGGTTGAAGGGACAGGTCACCTGCTGCCCCGGATCCGTGAGGACGTCACTCCTCTCCCACCGGTGACGTCACACCTTTGATGATGTCACGTGATGACCTCAGTTGTCCCGTCGGACCTGCGGATAAAGAAACACGGATGTCAGCAAAGTCACGTGTTATTACAGTGACAGGGCGTCAGTAGTCACGTGATATCACGGTGGCTTAATGCCTGTATTTAGTGATCACGCAAAATATAAGATCGGATGTTGTTTCTCGTATGACTGAGCGGACACAAACAAACAAAACAAACGTCACGCGACTGAACAGCGGATGCTGTCAAAAGTGACAATACGCTGCCACCTCTATCAGTGACCCTCTAAGGTCAAAGGTCACGTGGAATTGGTCAGCCGTTGGGAGCCATAACCGGGCAGCGCTGTGAGGTGGCGTGCCACCTAACCGGCGTCCAGAAATGTAATAACCATTGAGCGCCGGCATATGGGCGGTTTGGGACGCGAGCAGAAAATGACCGGCTCAAACGCGCCATGGTCACGGCTCGTGTTCAGGGGCCGAGCTTTTCAACAATGAATAGAAAAGGTGTTTAATAAAAGGGTGCAAATAATTGAACAGCGACGGAAAGAAATCGTCCGATTAGCTGTGAAAGGCAATCATTAAAGGAAAAGGGCCACCTTTAACATGGGGATTGAAACTGAGATAGCCATCTTGTAGCCCGTGTCCGAAAACCTATTTGCCTACTTCCTTACGGCCGATTTCGGCCTCCATTCGTAGTTATCGGCAATTTTAAAAGAAAATACGCCAGGAATGCGTCCTTATCCCAGGAATGCGTTCTTATCCGACAATACAGCCACCCGCGGCGAGGCTTTGGTTTTTTACCAATCAGCTCCAACCAGCTCAGCTTTAACCAATCAGCTTATCTGACACAATCCGACGAGTCTGTCTTCTGAACGCTGATTGGCTTGAGTGTGACGTCATCGCTATGCCATCATACAGTAGGTGCCGTAGAGAGTATCAACATAGTACCAATATGTTAAATAGTTTTAAATACTTTTTCGCGAATTGTGCACTTCTGGCACCAGTTTTAAAAAGAAAATGAAAAATAATAATGTCAAAATGAAAAACAACGATATCTTCATATTTCACGAAGGTGGCCCTTTTCCTTTAAACGAAAGGATACGAGGAGATGGTGAAGTCTAATAAACTTTGCTTTTTGTTATGCGCGCATGTACGTGTGAATAAAAAATATGCAATGAAAAAAATTGCAGCTATTTCATCGCAACATCGAAATGAATGAAAATATTTCACGCGAGGTGAAAGCACCTTCACGGTTTCATTACAGTCGAACCGTCTTATTTGAGTTATTTCTAAGTGTAAAATATGCTGGTACCGTATTATTATTCAATTTCACTATATGATCCTCCTTAGCTTATTTCCCACAAATTAAAACGTCATGCCAGTGCGCGCATTTTTACACCACAATCCCTTCCGTTCCAAGACGGGGTGATCTATGGTATCGTTCCGTCAGCCGCGGTTTTATAACTACCATAGCCCATTGGCGGTTTCCCGTGCCAGCGCGCTGTCTTTTCACGGCCATTGCCACCGGGAGGGCGGCCAAATTGTGTGATGTTCACATTCTCCGGGTGAGCTGTGTGACGCTAGTGAAATGTCCGGTGAGTGACCAGTGCGGTCCGGGGTGGCTCGTGGGAGTTAGTTGGTCGGGTTGCCAGGGTGGGACGTGCGACCACTTGTGAGGGGAGAGCCGAGAGGGTTATGGAGTATAGGCGATGGTAGATAGTTTATACGTTCCGCATGGAGGATGGCTGGTAGTATTCGTGAGGGAGGAGAGGGGAGAGATAAGGGCAAAAATCACCGACACTCCGATATGCTAAGCCCTGAGTCCCAAGTATCAACAGCAAACACTCTATACCACATCACGCCATTTCTCAGGCACTCAACACCAAAAACACTGAACACTTCGAACCGAACAGGCAAACATCTGCACACAAAAGAACACCATGACTAAACGTTGCATTCAGCAGCTATACGTGAGGTCCCACACCTGACAGCGGGGACCCGGATCACTATCTCTCGGGGCTGACTCACCCAACGCAGAGAGACAGACTTTAGACACCAACGTAGCTCACTGTTAGCGACACATAGGCCGCTTGCGTAGCTTACTGTCAGGGACTATGGCCACTAAACCTACCTCATCCATAGACACTGAGGGGTTACACAGCTATCGGCTACGGTGGAATGCCGTATATCGCCGTGTGGCTGACGCCCAGTTCCGGCGGCCTGTTGTGTAGGAATGCAGAATCTGTACTTCAGTGACGTCAAATACTGAGTGACGTCACAAAGTTCAGTGACGTCATCGGTCGGCAGGATTGTTTGCAGATCTGCAGCGTTTATGTGAAAACATGCACTCATTGAAGTTCCATGTATTGAAGTGTTGAAGAAGGCACCAACTACCAGAACGCGATTTCTGAGAATACCTGTTCCTCACAGAAATTGAAATTCTGGGGCGGGGAATCTAAATTAGGGAAGCTGCTGATGTGGTAAAAGCAGAATTAAACATGAACACGGAAACAAGGTCGCTGCTCAATGTTATGATGGGAGATTAGGCTAAAACACGAGTCCGTTTCGATTCAGAAATCAGAGCACTTCATATTTGGTGTCTGAATCACGCCCAGCCGCAAGGAAGCGAGGTTTGAATGACGCTCGAAACAGCTGCAGATCGCAGAATAAATGAATGAATTTATGCATATTTGGGCGTGCCAAATGACCAGAATAAATGAACAGAGCGCACAGAGTCCAATTTCGTAATTCATTAAGTCGCCGTCCGCTTCATTTTACAGACGCCGAGTCAGAGCGCTACTACATCAATAATAGTTTCGTCAGACAGCTTCGCTACTGGAACAGATTGCCGAGAACATTGCCTGCGATCACTTTGTTTCCTGTTTGAGGCTGCGCTCCACATGCTAACAAGACCACCGGCTTTGATATACGCCGACCGAGTGTCGTTGCTGGGTGGTACGAAGATCGGTCCCTCGAGGTAAGGGGGCTCGAGCAGTTAACTTGTGTCCGGGTCGCGAACAGTGAGGGCGATTTAGTTGATGAATCTGGCAACCCTAGCGATGCCAGCTGTGGTGAGTGATGAGTCATAAGTGAAGGGGTGGACAAACGACAGGGGTGAATCGGTGAAGAAATCTGACAAATGCGGCGGTTTGGTGGGAGTGTGTATCGCGTCAGCCGCAAAAATCGAAACAATCGATAGGAAAAGGGAGCTGTGCGGCTGTGAAGCCCTACTGCACCGCTCACAAATTCGTCTGTCTGTATGTGTGTCTGTCTGTGTGCCTGTGTGACAGGAGCAGGTTTCAGTTACCTGTTCAGCGTCACTCAGTGCAGCTACTAACTTATTGCAGCCTCGATTGGGCTCAAAAGCTGCGCCTCAAAAACATTAAATGCGATGCTTCATGAAGACAAGGAAATTATGCTGTCTTGTCGCAGATCAGGGAAACTGGACATATCGCACAGGTAAACGGCATGGGAGTCCTTGTGACTCACTGCCTGCGAGGAATGCTTTGTTCGCGCTCATTTTTACGGGCTGATAACGGTTTGAATTGAGGACTATCGTGCAATAATTGGGACAGAGTGCTCACCAGACACGAGTAGCCGGTGCCAGCTAAACTCAGCTGGAGCTGTGTCGGTAGCTATAGGGTTGTGTGGTCTTTCAAGGTAACTTCACTCAGGCTAGCAGCCGATCGAAGGTCACCATTTTCATGTAACACCTCGTCAACAGCAATATTCTCCAAATAGACACGCATCTCTCAGCACACATTTCTGGGCAGATGACCGGTGGGATGGACCTTGGGTCTCTCCTCGTGCTGACACGACTACGTGGGCGTGTGTGCTCTGACGGGACACCGCGGCAGCTCCCACATTCGCCCGGCAGTCGGTAAATATACACAGGATGACACTCCGGACGAGAGAGGCGCCGTGGACCACACAGCGCGAGCCCTGTCAGCGCAGAAGACGAGGCCAGCCACCGGCTTAAACACCGGCCGGTAATGGATGAGACACTTGTCAAGGTGGCTTATCAAGTCAATCGCAAACAACGTACTACTCAGTTACCGGGAGAAAACATCTGATAAGGGTCGAGAGACTGGTGTTTTCGGTGGAGTGCCTCCTTTGGGAACTTTTATAACCTTGGGCGTTATGGACGACTAGGTTTCCAAACAAACCGAATTGGGATAAAACGGCCCGTTATGATACTATCACACATCATGATCGCTGACCGCTCTCAAAATGGTTAAATGGTTTGGGCGTTAGAACAGGTTTTTCATATGTACAAAAACGGGGATGTTGATAACGCCAGCTTCCGAGTCTGCGGTCTGGTACATTTTCGTTTAAACAAAGGCCAATTTTACAACGGCAGCTCAGGAGTCCTTTCAACTCGTTGAAGCTGAGAGCCTCAATTACAATAATTAAATTCAAAAGTAAAGGAGGGGAAAAGTTGACGTTTTAAAATCAAAGCAGCGCTACTAAGCTCTTTGATCGTAAACTTTACAGTATATAACAATAAAGTGCCGAATCAACCGAAAAATAGCATAGTAGCTAAAAATAGCTACCTGTGTTGCATTGAATACACATTCACAATCAAGCAAAGCATCGTGCACGCCATCCAGGGCGCCTCGGACAATCACAGACTTGTGCAAATGATTCATAAGTAATTTCAAACCAAAGGCTTCAACAGTAAGAATAACAGCAACCAAGTAAGAGTTTGGTCGGTTGCAACCGCATACCCGTATGAGGTGTGACCGTCGGACCATTTGGTCCCCTGACGATTCGCATCTCCAGTCCACAGTGGTCCCCTGCGACACAGGTTCATCGGGTTCGTCTCCTATCGCCGACCCCCCACCTTCAAAAAAGTTTATGAATTGGCATGAGAGTGATGTCGCTCGGTTCAGAAAGAGCGAAAACGAATATCTACCAAATTTCACCGAAAAATATTCACCGGTTTTCAAGATATTAGACTTTTACTTTTGTTTACTTTTTGGGATCTCCGCTGTTCCTAGCGACTTTATTTGGAAGCAATAGTTTGGCAGCTGAAAGTGCGGCACTT